GTTTTCTACAGCATAGTCGAGACTCCCAGCTTCTTGGATGCAGCAGAAGGATGGACCCTGCTTTCCCAGCCATTCGTTCTGTTACCCCGTGTCTTTTTATTGGGGAATTGAGACCACTGATGCTGAGATTTATCAATAAGCAGTGTTTGTTTGATTTCCGTTCTTTTGTTGTAGTGAGGAGTGTGTGTGTATGAAAAATTGGAGAGATCTCTTAATAGCAACTTAATCGCATGCCTGAAGGCCCTAGAACAAAAAGATAAAATCACATCCAAAAGGAGTATTTCACCCAGGGCTGAAATAAATAAAAGGAGTAGATAGCAATAAATAATCAAACCCAGGGCTGAAATCAATAAGATATAAAATAGAAACAAACAATACAAAGAATGAATAAAACAAAAAGTTGGCTCTTTGAGAAAATCAGTAAGATTGACAAACTTTTAACCAAATTAACCAAAATGTACAGAGACAAGATACAAATTAACAAAATTAGAGATGAAAAGAGTGTCACAACAGACACAGAGGAAGTCCAGAGAACCATGAGGACATACCATTCTGTAAAAACCTGTATTCCACCAAGTTGGAAGATCTAAAAGAAATGAGTAATGTTTTCAATACTACCACTTACCAATGTTAAATCAAGATCAGGTAAACCATTTAAACAAACCTCTAACCCCTAAGAAAATAGAAGCAGTCATTAGTAGTCTCCCAACCAAAAAAGTCCAGGCCTGTGTGGTTTTAGTGCAGAATTCTATCAGACTTTGAGAGAAGAGTTTACACTAGAACCCCTCGAATTATCCCACAAAATAGAAGTAGAAGGAATATTGTCCTAGTTCATTTTATGAGGTCACAGTTACATTGATACCCAGACCACATACATATCCAACAAGGAAAGAGAATTACAGTCCAATTTCTCTTATGAATATATATGTAAAGACTTTCAATAAAATCCAAGAACACATCACAAAGGTCATCCACTGTGATCAAGTAGGCTTCATCTCCTAGACACAGTGATGGTTCAATATTCATAAATCAAGAAACATAATCAATCACATAAACAGGTTGAAAGATAAAAACCATACGATTATCTCATTAGATGGAGAAAGGGCCTTTGATAATATCCAATACCCCTTCAAGAAGATAGAAGTCATGGAGAGATTATGAGTACAAGGGACATATCTCAACATAATAAAGAAAGTTTACAGCAAGTATAGCCAATATCAACTTAAATGGAGAGAAACTCAAGGCAATTTCACAAAAATCAGCAACAAGGCAAGGTTCTCCACTCTCTTCACATTTATTCAATATAGTTCTTGAAGTCTTTGCTAGAGTAATAGGACAACTGAAGGAGATCAAAGGGATACAGATTGGAAAGAAAGAAATCAAAGTATCTTTATTTGCAGGTGATATGAAAGTATGTAATGATGAGGTAAGCAGGCCTGCTTTGCGTCCCGCCTGGCTCCTGCACGGCTGACTTTACATCCGAAATAACAGCACACAAATTGTATTCTTTTAAACACTGCCTGGCCCATTATATCTAGCCTCTTCTTGGCTAACTCTTATCTTGATTAACCCATTTCTAATAATCTGTGTAGCACCACGAGGTGGTGGCTTACCGGGAAAGATTCAGCATGTCTGACCTGGCGGCTGGCTCCATTTTGTCTGCCCTGGAGAGGAGAGGCATGGTGATTGCCTAACTTCCCTTCTTCCTAGCATTCTGTTCTGTTTACTCCACCCACCTATGTTCTGACCTATCAGGCCAAGCAGTTTCTTTATTAATTAACCAATGAAAGCAACAGATAGACAAATGACCCTCCCACATCAAAAGTATACATATGTGACCCTAAAAATTCCACCAAGAAACTCCCACAGATGATAAAACATTTCAGCAAAGAAGCTGAATACAGAATTAACTAAAGAACATTTGTAGTCCTCCTATATACAAATATCAATGGACTGTGTAGCATGACTTCTAATTGTTATTAATAATAAAAACCCAGAGTCACATATTAGGGGGTAAAAGCTGAGAGATCAGAGAAGCAAAGGAGCCAGCCACTAGAGAGTTCTTATCTCTACCAAAGCTCAGACAAAAGGGGTGATCCTGTCTTTACGAAACCTCAGACTGCATCCTCAGACTGAGTCCTCAGATTGGATGGAGGTTCTATCTCCTCCCGCCTTATATTCCTCTCTCCACTCAGCCATATCTCTTCCTGTCTCAGCCTCCCTAGTGCTGGGATTAAAGGTGTGAACCACCACTGCCTAGTTTCTATGGCTAACTAATGACTTAATTCTGCACTCTGATCTTCAGGCAAACTTTATTTGTTAGATTACAAACAGGACTGATTACCTCAGAAATACCTTGGGGTTAGAGCCAGAGTTGGAGGACGCCAAGGCAACAAGGCCTTTTGAACACAGCAGGATATGAATTGACAGGGACACAGCATGCATAAGGCCTGCACAGTTCTGCCCCAGAGAGGGTCCGAGGGCAGAAAGGAGAAATGGACACATGCCCCATTCCCTAACCCAGAAGCTTTCTCCAGTTGATAACCACTCCACTTACAAATGAGAATCTAGTTTTCTCAAAGGGAATCTCGCTAGGGAAACTATGCTTAAGGAGATAGGTAGGCCTCATGCCTAGCAGTAGATGGCTGACAGCCAATGAACTCAATGGCATCTTTGGAAGTTCCTTGTCTCATAGTGTCATGTCAGGGAATTTTCTTTTTCTTTTTTAAAGTTTTTCTCCTCACTCACCCTCTCTCTCCCTGCAGGTCCTTTGCATATACATTTTGGCTTCTGGTTTTGTGTTTGTATGGGATTCCCGAGTGTACAAATGAGTAGATCTTGGAGACCAAATCTGTTTCTTGTATCTTTTCTTGGGTTCTTTTCCGTTTGCTTGTTTAGTACTATTTCTGTGTATTTGTTTTAATTTATTATTATCATTCCTCAGAAGTCAGTTTGTTTTTCTAATGAGAGATAGAAAGGGGGTGTCTCTAGATGGGAGAGGAGGGATGGAGGGACTGGGAGAAGATGGAGGGTAAACCATAGTCAGGATAATAGGGGTGCGATGTCAGTTGTGGGTGTTGTTAGTTTCCTTTACGTGAGGGTGAGGGATCACACACACATCCTTACACTTGCCCAGCAAGCAGTCAGTGGAGCCATCTCTTCAGCTCTCAGGAGCCTCGTTCTGAACCCCAGGGGTTTGGTAAGGGCAAGAAGGGAGGCAGAATTCAGTGTGTTCTTTCAGCTTGCTGCACTCTGAAGCCGGAGTCTCTCTGTGGGAGATGCAAGGCTGGACCTGTCTGTCTGAATAATCCAAATAAACAAGTCTTCTATCACACTTCCACATTGTGAACGTAGTGACATGAGGGTGGGGGCCTGCACCTGCTCTCTGACATGTTAGGGTCCTGAAGACAGGGTCATGTCTTCGTTCCAAGCAACGCTAGAATATTTATGTGATATCAGTGTCGGTTGATCTCCTAAAACTCTTCCTACACTAGGCTTTGTTGAGACAGGGTCTAACGACCTTGAACCCCTGGTCCTCCTGCCCCTGCCTCCTGAGCGCTGGGATTACTAGGCAAGCACTCTGTTAGCTGGGCTGCATCTGCAGCCCCCCTCCCCCCTTTCTGTTGTCTGGGTGTTGGACTCTAACACGTCCTCTGAGACTCTCGGCCTCTAAATGGTGAGCGTGAGCGGGTGATCTGGATGTGTGTGCAGATGCCTTCAGACCATTGCAGGTGGTTGCTGGACTAAAGATAACCCACATTCTCCCCTTTGCACAGAGAAGAGGATGCCTGCTGTTTGCGATACCTACTCTTAGTTTGTAATTTGACTACGCCTGGAATTAATTGAAACCCAAGTGGCTGGGTACACCTGTGAGGGATTTTTCTTATTAAATCATTTGAAGCAGGAAGACCTACCTTTAATCTAAACCTTTTTTGATTGTTTTTCAAGACAGGGTTTCTCTGTGTCGCTCTGGGGGTCTTGGAACTCACGCTGTAGATCAGGCTGGCTTGGAACTCACAGATATCCGCCTGCCTCTGCCTTTCCTAGTGCTAGGCTTGAAGACATGCACCACCATGGTCCAGCTAATCTGGGTCTTTTAGGTAGGACGGTCTACCTTAAATCTGGGCCACACCTCCTGCTGGCAGCCTATATAAAATAAAGGACACAGAAGAAGCAGGCTTTTGCTCTTTGACTTCCGTCCTCACTTTTGCTGGCAAATTCATTCCTTCGCTGACGTTAAAACCTACTTCTTCAGGATTCTAAAGTATACTAAAGACCAGCCAAGGCATCCAACCTTGTGGGCTGAGCAACTATAGGAGTCTTAAACTTTCCCTTGGTAGAGAGCCATTGTTGGTCTAGCTGGACCGCAGCCTGTAAGTCACTCTAATAAAACTCCTTCACACACACACACACACACACACACACACACACACACACACACACATTATTGAATGCCAGTTTGACAGAATCTAGAATCACCTGGAAGATAAACCTCTGGAAATGTTTGTGAAGACGTTTCTAGATTGAATTAGTAGAGTTAGTTGAGCTCACTCTAGGAAAGGAACAACATCCCCGGGGTCCAGCAATGCCCTGGGACCTTGTTGCCCTGTTGCCAGGGTCCCTTTGTGGCCAATAAGGAGAAACCAGAGGCAAAGGACAGCTGGGCCATCCTCATCCCCAGAGCTGAGGGAGGGGTGACAGTTCATGACAGACCCAGAATGGCATCCAACCCTGCTGTGGAGAACAGGCATGGCTTTCAGAGGATGGAAGGTTGTTAATGCCAGCTCCCGGTCTAAGTTATGGGTCCCAGAGACACAGTTGGCAGCTCAGTTGTTCTTTAGGCTCCCTGCGAATTTCCAGCTGAAGAAGGGGCACGAGTACCATTTCTGATGCCCACAGAGTGAGTAGGTTTTAAATGAAAACAGATGTATTGGGCTGGGGGTGTAGCTCTGTTGGCTGAGTGCTTGCCTAATGTACACAACCCTGGCTCCTATCCACAGCGTCACGTAAATTAGGCCTGGTGGTTAACCCCAACATTTGGAAAGCGGACACCAGAAAACCAGCAGTTCGAGGCTGTTCTTCCATATGGATTGGGTTTGAGAATCAACCTGGCTAACAAGAGAGCCTGTCTCAGAAAGAAATGGATGAATGAATTGGTAAATAAATAGTTTTAGTTTGGTCCTGGCTTTGTGCCAAAATTGAGAGCAGCATGTCATGGTATCGTTGTGGAGTCCCCAAGTGGTGCCTGTGGTCAGCTGGTGCCAAACACCCCGTGTGGATGCGGATGTGCCTGCATGTATATGTTTTTATATCTCTCCTTTCCTATAAATCCAGGAGGATTCCTGCCTGAGTCTGTGCCTGCATGTATATGGCTTCTAGCTCTCTCTGTTCCTATGAATCCAGGACGATTCCTGCCCGGAGTCTCCTCCCCGTGACAGCATCAAACCCTACTCCATTCCCAAGGCCCCATCTCTAACCACTAGAATGGGATTAAGTTGCCTCCTGATGTGTTTTTCACAGTTGGGGTTAATGTCACCACAGGAAGCCTGGGAACCAGCCCTCGCCTTGTTGGATGGTCACTTTACTGGCCGGTAATGCTCACTTTTCTTCCTCCTATTCCTTTCCACTGCACTTGAAATTTAGAAACACACTTAAAAAGCAAATAAACAAAGCAAAAAGAGACACAAACCAGCCCACCACACAGGAAGTGGGGAACTGCTGAGTAATCCCAGAGACCACAGGGGTGTTTCCAGGGAGTTGAGCAGATGGCCATAGCCGTGGGTGGCTGGTCGGGCAACAACACTTCCTGCCTGCTCGGCAGAGCCACTAGGTCACCTGGGGACACTGTCTGGGTGTGTCTCTCCCGGGCCAGTCCAGTCTTGTACTCTTGCTTGTCCAGATTCCCAGGACTTCTTGGGTATAGAGGGGCAGAAGGAGAGAGGTGGCTGCGGTTGGAAGTGGCCCTGCCTGTCTCCATCAAGGCCACATGGTTACAACCCTACCAGGATAGGAAGGTGCCTGCGACTCCAGGGACTCTACCCAGTTCAAGCTTGCTCTGCACTGAAAGCAGCTAGGGCCTTGGGTATGTGGCCTCCAGTGACAAGACAGTCCAGGAGACTAAACAGCTATTGCCTCTGCTTGGCGGAGCTGTTACCTTCTTGGCTAACACTGGGTGAGGTTTTTGTGTGTGTGTGTCCTTCAGTGAAGCACATGCCATTGAGAAAGAGAAAATGCAGGTCTGCTTCTAGCAACAGCCCAGGAATGAGCCTCTCAGGAAAAGCTGGGCCTTTGTTTGGAGACAGCCACACCCTCCCGAGGGAAGAATGAGGGCCCCAGACTAGGTGGAGACCCAGCAGGAAGTGGGTGAGCTCTGTCAGGGTTTAAAGGTTCATAGCTGCATTGCAATGGACCACACAGAGTCACAAGCTGTTTTGGAGAACAGCAAGAAGAGCCGTCTCTCCTCAGAGACCGCAGCACGAGGCCGCCACGTGACAAGATGCTACTGTGAGAGTCATCAGTGACATTAGTGAAAAAAAAAACCAAAAAAAAAAAAAAAACCACAGGCCACAATAGTCTCATGGGCTCCTCTAATTTATGAGAGTATTGATGTCAATTAATTGAGATTGATTTAATCAGTGAATCAAGACACTGCAGAAATCACTTTCCCTCGTGATGAATCCTAGGTAGTTTGATTGGAAAGTAACAGCATAAAGACTGAGCGCCAGGCCTGGTGGTACACACCTGTGTCCATCCCCCACCCCTTCCGTGCTTTCTAGAGGTGGAGGCAGGAGGATCAGGAGTTCAAAGCCATCCTTGGCTACCTATTAGTTTGAGGTCAAGCTGGTCTATATGAACCCTGTCTCCAAATACAAAATCATAGCCCCAGAAGAGTGAGATAGGGTAAGGAGATGACTTAGGAGGTGAAGCACTTGCTGTGTAATCGTAAGGACCTGAGTTCACGTCCTTTAGACCCACATAAAGTCAGATGTGGCAGCACGTGCCTGTAACCCCAGCACTGGGTGGGTTGGGGTGAAGACAGGTGGATCCTGGGAACTCATTGACCACATATTCTGGCTGGAACAGCAGGCTCTAGGTTCAAAGGGAAACCCTGGCTCAAAAGAAAATACAAAGGTGGCAAGTGACGAGAAAGACATCTGGAGTTGTTTTCTGGCCTCCACATGTGCACACACAGAGGAGCACATCTGCACATACACAAGCATAACCACACACACACACACACACACACACACACCCAGCAAGGTTAGAAGATAAAACAGGACAATGTTCTCCATCGACTTTTTAAAAAAATATGGGAGTTGAAAATAGAGAAAAATAGATTTGGGTTGATAATAGCATTATGTTAAGATAAACTAGATTTGAGCTGATATTAACATTGTAAGTTAAGATAAAAAAAGAGAGACATAGTTATAAAAACTGCAACAGTGCATCCTCATCTCTGTAAGAGTTTCTTTCTTTCTTTCTTTCTTTCTTTCTTTCTTTCTTTCTTTCTTTCTTTTTTTATAATTATTGTTTTTTTATTTATTAAAGATTTCTGTCTCTTCCCCACCGCCGCCTCCCTTTTCCCTCCCCCTCCCCCAATCAAGTCCCCCTCCCTCATCAGCCCAAAGAGCAATCAGGGTTCTCTGCCCTGTGGGAAGTCCAAGGACCACCCACCTCCATCCAGGTCTAGTGAGGTGAGCATCCAAACTGCCTAGGCTCCCACAAAGCCAATACGTGCACTAGGATCAAAAACCCATTGCCATTGTTCTTGATGTCTCAGTAGTCCTCATTGTCCGCTAAGTTCAGTGAGACCGGTTTTAACCCAGGCTTTTTCAGACCCAGGCCAGCTGGCCTTGGTGAGTTCCCGATAGGACATCCCCATTGTCTCAGTGTATGGGTGCACCCCTCGCGGTCCTGAGTTCCTTGCTCGTGCTCTCTCTCCTTCTGCTCCTAATTTGGACCTTAAGATTTCTGTCTGGTGCTCCAATGTGGGTCTCTGTCTCTGCCTCCTTTTATCACCTGATGAAGGTTAATATTCAGGAGGATGCCTATATGTTTTTCTTTGGGTTCACCTTCTTATTTAGCTTCTCTAAGAATCCGAATTATAGGCTCAATGTCCTTTATTTATGGCTAGAAACCAAATATGAGTGAGTACATCCCATGTTCCTCTTTTTGGGTCTGGCTTACCTCACTCAGGATAGTGTTTTCTATTTCCATCCATTTGTATGCAAAATTCAATAAGTCCTTGTTTTTTACTGCTGAGTAGTACTCTAATATGTATATATTCCATACTTTCTTCATCCTCTGTAAGAGTTTCTTGGAAATAATGTTTTTCATTTCTACTGAGAAGTGGGCAAAATGCACAAAAAGCAAAAATAAAGTCATTAAAACAAAGAAAATGTCCAGTATGTTGTTGACTAAAGCAAATAAAACAAGAAAGTACAGTTTTAAGAATTTTTTTTCAGGACAGTTTCATGTATTCCAGCCTGGCCTTGAGCAAACTGTAGTCTACCTGCCCTTCTGACTCTCCTTCCTCCACCTCCAGAGAGCTAGCCTTCTAGTCTTGCACCACCATACCTGGTTTATGTGCTGGGAATGGAGCCCCCTGGGGTTCGTGTATGTTAGGCAAGCACTCTGCCCACAGAGCCACATTCCCAGCCCTAAGACCCCTTTAAGGGGTGAGGGTGGCAGAGATGGTGAGGCATTTTCTAATGCCTTAGGCGGTGGTGGACATGTGCCAGCCTTTAGGCATTCACGGAGGGTGTCGTAATGTTCCACCTCTGCTGTCCTCTTGCGTTTTCTTCCTAGAAATTCAGAGTTAACCCTGTTGTATGGGGCTGAGAAAGGTGGCCATCTGAATAGGAGTGGGGAGAGTCACAGAGCTGGGTGTCGAAGCTGAGTGGCGTGAGCAGGCCACCATAGCAGTGTGGAGCATCCCCCAGGAGGTGGGGTAGCCACAATCTGTGTGGACTGCGGTAAGAGTGGGCATCTCCAGGGTGAACAGAGCATCAAAGAGGCGGTGTGATAAATCTCTGCAGAGGGCTGGGAAGATGACTCAGTGGCTAAAGCACTTGCTGCACAAGTGTGAGGACCTGAATGAGTTCAGATCCTCAGATCTACAGCCATGTATATGGCATGGAGTCTCACAGTAATTTCAGTGCTGGAAGGCAGAAGTAGAGGATCCTTGGAGCAAGCTGGCTAGCTGGACACACCAACAAGCTCTGGATTCACTTGAGAGACCCTGACTCAATGAACAAGGTAGGGAACATCAGCTATGTGCTTCCATGTGCATGCACACATGTGTTTATGTGTATCCGCATGCATGGAAACACATATTCATGCCTGCACACCACACACATCCACATGACAAAAAGGAAAAGCAAATATCTGTAGAATAGTGGGCTGTCAGTGTGGCACTGGGGACCATCCACAGAGGAAGAGGATCTGTGAATTGTCATATCAGTTTCTACAGGGTCCACAGGGCATTCGCAAGCTAGGGGTGGCCCATTTACATGGAACCGTAGACCATTAAACAGAGTTTGAGCATCCACAAAGCAATGTGGACCATCTCTGGAAGACTGTGACCATCCTGGGAGGATCAGTGCTTCCACAGTATATAGAAGACATCTGTATAGGAACTTAGACCCATGTAGATCTGTGGCCCCTCCCAAGGCATAGAATTTTCAGGGTGAGGCAGGCATGCACTGATGAGCTCTGTACAGACAGCAGTGATAGCCCTGCCATCAGAGCTTTCGTCAACTTGACACCAAACCTAGACATACCTGGGAAGAAGGGCTCTCAACTGAGGAATTGTTTCCAACAGGTTGGCCTATGGGCAAGGCTGTAGCATATTTTCTTGATGGCTGATAGATGTGGGAAGGCCCAACCCACTATGAGTTGATGTCACTCTTGGGCAGGTAGGCCTGGGTAGTATAAGAAATGTAGGTGAGTGAGCCAGAGCAAGCAAGCCACTAAGCAGTATTCCTCCATGGCTTCTTCCTCAAGGTCTTGCCTTGGGCTCCCTCTGATGATGGACCTGTGTCTTAGTTAGTTTTTTTTTTTTTTTTTTTTTTGAGAAAGGACACCGTGACCACACCAACTCTTACAAGGAAAACATTTAATCGAGGTGGTGGCTTAGTTTCAGAGGCTCAGTCCGTTATCA